GATCCCCGGCCACAGGTGAGAGTCCCACATGGTACACAGACCTCTCCTGCTGTGCCCGCTGCTCCCCTCAGCAGTGTACTTCATCAGTCTGCCTGTTCTGCTCCCCGCTGTGGCTCTGGTGAATTTGCTCACCCTCCCGCACTTCTGACTGTACCCCGTGCTTGTATAAATAAATAAATAAATCTCTTTTTTTTAAAAAAAGGGAAACTAATAGGCATATGAGCAGCTTAGGATGGCCTCATGCCACTCCTTGTATGCAGGGAGCGCTCCTATGCTTCCAAATATTCCCTGGCAGAGTCCCCCACCCTAGCAACATCTCCTGACCAGACCAGTCAACCTGGGCAGCGCCTGAGGACTAGGGCTCCTGAATGCAGCAGCCTTTGTGGGGAGGGGGCACATTTTTCCAAGGGTTCCCTCTCCCCAGGTGCTGGGCTGTGTAGATAAGACGGTGCTTTTGGGTCTGAAGTGTTGCATCCAGGTCCATGATGGACAGAGGAACTCATTCTGCAGCTGTGGGAAGGGCTGGCTCTGTCAATGCAGCTCACAGAAGAGCCCTCCTCCAAGAAGGAAGCTTCGTCACTCAGGCTCACCCCTTCCCAGAGGACAGCTTGACTGCACCCAGCCATCCTGGCCTCAACTGGGTCAGCTCTAAAGGGCCTTTCCAGATGGAAATGACCCTGTGGGAGTTTTCTGTTGCAGCTGCATCACACTCAATATATTCCTCTGCCTGGTCCTGCATTCCTCACTCTTCACATTTGTTGTTCCCTCTTAGACGGTCCCTAGAAAATCACCTCCACGTTAAATCCAAATGAGTGTGGAAGAGGTGAGGAGCTCTGGGCCTGGCCTCTGGGTCTCCAACCCAGGGCTGGTGGGACAGCAGTGAGTCTATAGATCAGCGACCCCACCCATCAGAGCTAGCACTTCCCGAGAGCACGCCAATGTGCCAGACTGTGCACCAATGGCGGCTTTGTGTCCAAGGTTACATTTAAGCCTCAGAACTCTATGAGGCTGCAATTACGTTCTCATTTTAAAACAGAGAGATTTGGTCATCTGAGAAACAAAGGTACTTTGTAAAGGTTGCAACTGAAATGCAAACACAAATATTTCTGACTCTTCTACTAAGTCACTGAACAAAAAAGAGAAGGAAATTCAATTAGGGTAATTGATGAATTTCTAACTAGGGCACAATTCTAATGATCTAATATCATTAACCAGAGAATAATATATTAACACTTGCATATATATATATATGATATACAATGTATATTCATGTATAAAACATGTATATAGACATATATACAATTTATTGCTATATTATAAACATCCAGATAACCTCCATTACACTAAAATAAGGCATATACCAAGGTTGCTGAACACTACATTTGATTGTCAACAAATGTTAGGCTCCTCCTACCTTTATAGGTTACATCTGTTTTTAAATTAGTTCCAAACTGGATTTTACTCTTGTGTTTTAGGCCCTTGACTTGTATGAACTATGTTGGCATTTCAAAAGTGCAGAGTAAGCTAATGGCAGAAGAAAAGCTGAGCCAATTTACATCAGACAGTCTTGGCCAGTATATCAAGTTATTTCAGAATTAAAAATATATGTGCTATATCAATAAAATGCTTTGGAGTTAAAAATACAATAGACTTTCAAAAACTGATTACCCTTCAACTAGACTACATGACTGCATCCTTTATTAAGGATGTGTTTACATACTTCATTCAAATTATAGTAGTTGAATTTCTGCTTTTGTTATTACAGATTATTTAAAAATATATTTTAAATATAATTATTTTCTCTTTATGATCTACCTATTAAGTAGAATATGTTTTTCATTCTTGGACATCACAACCATTACCATGAGGGTCAAAATGCATAAATCCAGGGTAGATAACTGTTTTTAGGTAAGTCTGAAATTTACCAGCAAGAGCTGAGGGTGGGATTGGGCAGTCGAGAAGTATCTGAAATAGTATCATCATCTTATTCTATGGTAAAGGACAAGGCAGTTAAAAGGGCTGTCATCCCCTAACTACCAAGGAGATCTACCTTAGAGAGAACCAGGACTTTGTTAGACAACAAACATTCAAGCTTATAATCTAATACGAGGAATGATCCAGACATATGAGCAACATTCTGTTAAACAGTGATGGCAAACAGCTATCTGCTGCCCAATGGGTCTAATGTTGTGTCATCAAGAAAGGGAACTGATTTTCTAAACCCAGCAGCACAAGTACTTCTCTACTTTAGATTTTTTGACAATAAATCAACAACTCAAGAGAATTCACTCCCTTTGTTGTCCAGGGATATAGGTCAGAGCGCATTTCTATCTGAGAGCCTCTTATCTAGATGTGCTATACACTTCTCATTTAATTAATGCTTCTGAAGGAACATACACATTCTGGCACGCACACCCCATAGAAACTTGAACTGGGATTTGCCTTAACACTCAACCTGTGCTGAGCCGGCCGCCCCTGCCTCTGCAGTCATTTGCAAGCTGGAGTCAGGCAGAAAGGCGATGGTCAAAGAATCACTAATAACAAAGGACAGGCTCCCAAGAAGTCACAGGTTAGAAGCATCATCTAGTAGAAAGATTGATTTGCCAATTTTACTTCTAATTCATATGTTGTTTTCTTCAAACGCAAATCTTTAAAAAGAGATGACTCCTTAATTTTCCCTTTTTGATAATTTCTTTGTTCTTTTGGGGTAAAGACACAGCTGAGTTTAAGGGACTTACATTTAAGCCAACTCACCTCCCAGCATCTCCAGTTTAATATAAGAAGTTTCTACACATACAAACTTTATCACATAAAATTTGATGAGTAAAGCACCTGCCAGGAAATGGCAACTTCTTGTAAAAACTAACATCACAATCACCTCCAGCAATGGTGGACGGACAATACCAGAGAAAAGATAGAACAGATCATTGAAATCCCAAGATAAGCCTGAAATCTCATTTTAGCCAAAAGATCCAAATGCCTCCCCACTCCTAGCTGACTTTCTTGAGCGTTGATAATAAGTTGCAAAACATTATTGACTTGGGAGTCCTTCTCTTTACTGAGTTTTTAAAAATTTTAAGTTTAAATTTGAAGAAAGAATATAAAACACTATTTTGTATAATTAGTAGCCTCTAAAAAGTCAATTTATATTGTAGCTACATCTACCTATGTCCATAACATTATGGTCTGCCACTGATAACCACATTTACATTAGAAAATACAATCTGTCTGGGCTTCCCTGTGGTCTAGGGCTTAAGTCTCAGCACTGTCACCTCCAGGGCTTGAGTTCCATCCCCGGCCAGGGAGGTGACTCACATGGTACAGCAGACCTCGCTTGTCTCACCTGCTGCTCCCCTCAGCAGTGTATTTCAGTAGCTCTGCCCGTTCTGCTCTCCATTCTGTCTCTGGGGAATCCTCTCACCCCTGCACCTCTGGCCCGTACCCCAGTTTTTCTACACACACACACACACACACACACACACACACAAGAAAATACAATGTCGTTTAGAAAAGGAAAGCACACAGATTCAGAGGATGACTCCTCCTCTGCCTCCAACTTTCCTACCAAAGGATTGAGAGTGAGGGACAGTGTAAGAAGGTAGGGAGGAACTAAAGGGTATTACTGTTTGAGGAAAAGAACCACAAGGGTTGAGGAAGCTGAAACAGAAGAACTGAGAAAGTAGAAATCACACAGAATTGCCTGGGATGGTCAGAGACTGGGCTTCCAGGGAAACAGATCCAGGCTCTCTGCCCCCACACACCCCAAAGTGCCTGCACCTCACATGAGACTGTTCCCAGATTGCAGGATTCCCATTCACTAAGCCCCACTCCAGACCACTCACCCACTCCAGGGGTGAGAGAATTCCCCAGAGACAGAATGGAGAGCAGAACGGGCAGAGCTACTGAAATACACTGCTGAGGGGAGCAGCGGGTGAGACAAGCGAGGTCTGCTGCACCATGTGGGTCACCTTCCTGGCCGGGGATGGAACTCAAGCCCTGGAGGTGACAGTGCTGAGACTTAAGCCCTAGGCCACAGGGAAGCCCAGATAGATTGTATTTTCTAATGTAAATGTGGTTCAAGAATCCAAAGGCAGAAGTCATTATCAAGGGATGCATCCTCTGCTCCATTTCTGCCCCTTTTACTACTTCCCTCTTCAGTCCAGGCAGGTCCATGCTTGGAGGCCATGTTGGACTTCATTTAAGAATCTCAGGTTCTGTACAGCACTTCTCCAGCTGGCATCCTTACCTGCCCCGGGGTGCTGCCCTCATCTACTCTGACTTCAGTGCACTGTCCTGTGAGCCCCACCATTATGAAGGAGCTCAGAACCCTAATATCTAACCTGCCAATAGTTTTAATTTCCTGTTGCCTATTTTGCCCACTTACCTCATATATCATGATATAGACAGGGCTACACACAGTGGTAGAATGTAAAATGTGCCCAATACATAGTGAGTGAAGAGCAAAGTGAATTAATAAATACATATGCATAGAAGCATATGGAAAATATGAGCATTGAAAAGTTATTCATATGTTGACTCCATTTAAGATTTCAGAAACAATGAAACCCTTTATCTTAGCACTGGACTATCCTATGGAACTTTCCTGGACATGGTACAATTTTTTAGTTGCTGAAAGTGTTAGGTTTGACTTCACAGATAATTTGTCACATCTACATGAAGAATGAGGAGAGTATTTCTTAATGCAGACTCCAGAAAGAGGTTTGTGTTATCTCCAGCATTTTCCAGAAGTTACTATACCATATGGCTTCCTGATTTTCTGTTTTTCTCATTTTAGACAGGCCTGAGGCTAAGGTGATTAATAAACTAGGAAATCTTGGCATCTACAGAAGAATAAAATTCTGCTGCTTTCCTTTCGATTTCCATTTTCTTCAGCCCAATGATCATCACTGAGGGTTCTGTGCATCAGACTAATCTACCCATCAAACTGAGGAGGAACAAGAGGCAGAATACATGAAATCAATTAGGCATGTTCAACTCACAGGCTTCCCGAAGCTTCTCTTTGTCATAGTGGAATCCTTCATAGTCTTGTAGGCTGATTTTGTTCACCCGGATTCTCAGGCGGTCTGGGACAGACTGGGGGCTGCAAGGCAAGAACAAGGGGTCAGACGTAAACGAGAGTGTGGGGCCGGGCGCCCTAAGCACCAGGAGAGGCTAGAGGCAATACAGTCTCTCCATGCCTCGAAGGAAAACTGTCATCAAACTAGAATTGTGGGTTTTTTACAAGCACAGAAATTACCTGCAAAACACTTCTCCAGAAACCTCAAGTTTCTGAAATCCAGGCAAGAATAGTGCAATAAACAGAAAAAGCTTCTGGAAGTCACATACATATTTGCTATTAATTTATTAAACATTCTAATAGGATCGTGTGTTGTGCTCCACAGTGAGTTCGTTGCAGCTAATCCAGTGAGAAGCAGAATAAGGCTGTAAAGATCTGCTCTAGGTAAATATACCTGTAAAGCTCACAGAAGAGCAGAGAAACAATAACAGATCAGACCAAGAATCCAGAAAGCACAGGGCTGAGACTGAAGTTGCTCTCTCCACTTCACTCACGTCTGAGACCACCTCTGGGTTGGAGCATATTACAATGACGAGCCTCTAAATACCCCAAAACGAAGGGAAAAATTTAAATATGCCCAGTGTATTTTCTTTAGGAAGGGAATAAAGTATGCAATTCAATCCAAAGTGGCTCGGGACACATATTAAACAACTGGAAGGTAGCTCTGTTTACCCTCAGGATCTCTCTATCTGGATTCCTTGAATGTTCTCGTATAACATTTTCAAAACAGCTTAATCGTGGGCATTAGCACAATACAATTTTCAACATCGCAGCTATAGATAAATATATTTCTTCAACATATTAATATAAAAAAAACCCCTAGTTGTCCTTGAAGGTTATCTGATCCTTACATTTCAGTGATTCAGAGAACTTTCTCAGAGGATTGCTTTTCCTTTCCTACATGATGGGACAAACGTCACCACTGACTAAAGTAGAAATAATAACATTACTCCTCAATTTCAGTAAAGGCAGGGAGATGGAAGAGGGGGCAAAGAGAAAAGAGAAAGAAGATAGGAAACAAGGAATATGGGGTTGGAGGAGGAGGGAAGAAAAAAAAGACCGGATGAAAGGAAGGAGCGATACTTCAAAAATATTGTCAGGATACCTCTATGCCTGCTTCTCTCTCTCTCTCTCTCTCTCTCTCTCTCTCTCTCTCTCTCTCTCTCTCACACACACACACACACACACACTTAATTTCATTGCAACAATGGAAGGAGAAAAATAATCTTTAACCTCATTATTTGACCTAAAACTTCATTGAAGGCAAAATACAGTAACATTCACCATATAGACCCCAATCTACTCACCCCCCAAATAACAGCTACAGATGCACGTGTGCACACCACACCCCCTCAATCACACCCACACAGAGACTTAGATATAAGCATACACATTCTAGAGCAAGATGGAGGCTAGTAAAAAGTGTCTCATTTCACTGGATGAGCCACTAAGCCAACACAAAACCATAAGGTGGGTATTTCTGAGGGGCTGGTCAGAAGACACCCCTGATTAACAGTTCATTGCCCCCCATTAGGGGTGTCACCTGTGTGCTGGGCTGAATGGCTGAATAAAACTGATGTGAGTGATGAAGCTGTGGTGGGCAACAGTGTGACAGCATTTTTGTAAATGATCCGAACAAACCTTAAATACCTTGCCTATCATCATGTATAGATAAGGAAACTGAGTTTCAGAACAGTCACGTGATTTTAAGTGACCTTAAGTTGTCCTTAAGTGTCCTTAAGTGTCCTTAAGTGTTGTCCTAGTTGTCCTTAAGTGTCCTTAAGTGACCCTTAAGTTCACTTAAAATCACATGTTTTTAAGGCTACTAAGTGGAAGTAGCAGAGTCAGGGGCTGAGAGCTGAGATAGGGATGCTCTGGGTTTCATGCCCTTCTCTTAGAAGATGCCGAGAATCCCAGGGATTTGTCACCAAAGTCACAGTCAAGAAACCTTATGTGGTGCTCAGATCAGCAACAGACCAACAAGGGGATGGTCAGGAGCCTGGTCCACTCATACGAGAGAGCACGGGGCTAATACCTCAAGTGAGCGTGCAGAACTGCATTTGTTTAGGGGCTAGTGTGGGGACAAGAGAGTGCTAAGTGAAACAAAGTCATGGAAAATGAGATATGGCATAATCTTCTTCGGGGAAATTGGAGTTTCAGAGCTTGCATGTGCATAGAGAAGTGCCAGCAGAAAATGTTCCACTCGTCGTTCCAAGCTGTTATCTGCATGTGGTGGGATTTGGGGATTATTTTTTTCATTGACTATAATCATTTGTAGAAAAATAATTATTTTGAGAGCATCTCCATATGCAAGTATATGATAACTCAGGGCAAGAGCAAAAATAAGGATTATAGCAAAGTGCCTAGGTGTTGGATGTGAGAAATAGGAAAGAATTCAAGTCATGAACAGAGTACTGAATACTTCTACTGAAACTGAGGGGCCTGGTCTTTCCCAAGTTCACCCTAGTGAACCTGCAAAGACTATAATTTGCAAATATTGTCCCACAAGCAAAGCAGACCTGAGCCGAGCTAGAGCATAGAATGCGGTGGCCCCATAGACACTGTAGGAGGGAGGACAGCGTTGAAAATGCTCGTTAGACATTTTTTTGAGATAACAGATCAAAGGGCAGTGAGTTCTAGCGCCCTCCAGTGGGCTGCAGGTTCCAGACCTGGCTACAGCAGCAGCAGCTGCAGGATTCTGTAGCCCTGTCCTTGCAACCCACCTCTAGGAGCTCCCCATGACTAACCAGTGTGTACCCCCTTTCTCAAATACCAAGCCCCTACTCCCTGTTTATAATTTTTATCCCTCCCCCCAAGCACACACTGTCACCTCCTGAACCTTGGGCTCCACCAACCATCCTGATCTACAGTGGCAAGGACAAGAGCTGTCATCCAAATAGAACATCTCAGAATCCAAATGAATTCATATACGATCTCATTTCATCTCCAGCAAGATCATACAGCAAGAGATAACAGAATGGAGACCCTCGCCCACCTTTTCTCACTCTCTCCTATCCACTACCTACACTTTCTCACTCTTGGTGTCAACTCCTACCTTCCCCCAATAACATGCAACCCACCCCACTTCCCTACCAGCAGCAGCTTGCTTAACCCCTCTTTTCTGATGGGGGTCCTTGGTATTCAACCTGCTCTCAGACCTTGCCTCACATCAGGTCAATCAACAAACTTCAGGGCATTCAATCACAGGTGCCATGATGGAAATCCTTCTGAATCATTTGGACCCTGGAGTAAACATCTCAGAGGAGACAGCTCAGAGAGGAGCTGAGGAGCTCAGATTGCAAGGCAGACTGGTTGGAACTGAAGTCGAGTTCTTCCAATTACTGGTTAATGAGGAAATTCTGGCTTCAGTTTCCGCGTAGGTAAAGTGGGGGTAAGAACACTGCTCTCATGGGGATGTGATGAGAATTGAGTGAGTCAATGCAGGTGACATGCTTAGAAAAATGCCCAGGCCATTGTAAGTGCTCAGTAGATACTAACTTTTATCGAGGTAATTATTATTCTGAGGACTGCTCTCCTAAGTAAAGTTCTGCCTAAAAACAACAGCATCTGTTGCTGCCAGGAATTGGAAGATACTCAGGGCAGGAACAGGACCCTCCCCAGACACTTCTGATGAGCTGAGCTCCTTCTCAGGGAACTTGTCTCTGGATCTTCTCCCGGCTGGAATTTTCCAGGCCAACTGAGAACATGAAAACTGACGAGAATGTGGGGAAGAAAAAGTAAGGTGAGATTAAATGAAAGCCAAGTAATTCAATTGCGCCCTTTTATGTCAAAACATATTAGTGTTCCATTAGTGGCCTGCTGAGGGTGGAGACTGACAAAGCTCTTCCTTGGAGTCTGGGGAATAGCCTTGCCATTAGTGTTCTAAAATTAAATTTTGCCAAGAAAGTTAGTAGAGCATAGACGAGACGAACAAGCGGGGTAAACACCAATTCACTCTGTGTCAACATCTCCCATGAATTACTCCTCCACTGTCAGAAGCTCCACGCTGGAGGCTGTTAGCCTGACTGCCATTGAGGCTCTTCAGGAGCTGAGGGATTCGCCATGGTGAGGTTCCCAAAAAATCAGGCAGTGATGTGGGCCTGTCACCTTCTCACTAATCTTCTCTGTAATATCAGACCAGACCTCCTTGTGCAGAGTGGAAGGTCGTGGCACTGACCTTAACTCCCAAATGCCCTAATGCCAACATTCTCAAGAACCATGATAAAAACAACTCTCACTAACACGACTGCCCTAGGCTTCCCAAACCCCAAGCCCACCCCACCCCCATCCAGGTTATGCACAGCTGGTACCCTGTGATGCTGGGGCAGGGCAGGCCATGGAGACAACTCCCTGCACACTCACTGATCCTCCACTGAAGCCCCAATTCTCATCTCTGCTCTCTGAGCGTCCTGCCAATAACACTTTTTGGGTGTGTTTTTTTTTGTTTGTTTTCTATTGGCCTTCCATAGACTTTCAATCCATTAGGGTCAGTTTTCTCCCTGTGCCTTCACACTCCTCTTCTCTGATCCATTTCTTGGGTGCACACTGTGTCCTCGGACTAATAACACCTCCATTTCCAATACCTGGCACCGACACCCCTCTGGATAAAGGGGATGAGTTGGGCGCTTTTGTTCGGCACAGTCACTTACAGATTATTCCAGATTCCATCACTAACGCCACAGAATTCCTTCTCCTCACTGGAAAAATTAATCACCTAGAGTAACACGGAGTTTACTGTCTTAATACGAAGACAGTCTGGCACCGAGTATAAAGTGGGATACAGAATCAGAAATATCATCCTTCCAATCTGAGAACTGTGAATTCGCCTATGTTTGATGTTAGTTCTGAAGTTAACTTCTCTAAACCATTTTCCGATCTAAAAACAGGACTGATACTAGGAATGGAGAGAGCCCCTCAGGGAGTTAACACAGTCAACAGTAACATCTACTGTATTGGACTGTTACTATTCATAGTGCCCTGGTGCTTCTCCCATCTCCCTGTCTCTGCTTATCCCATCCTGCATG